AAAGAACAGTTTTGTTGCCATCGTGCTTTTTGCCTTTGTTTGTTTTGAAGACTGTGAAATTCCTTTTCATTGCCGATCTTACCAGGCCTCATCCACAGCCCCTCTGAAATCAACATAAAGATTTTGACATCAGTTTAATTTGAATGAAACTTCAACAGCCAATGGAAGATGAAACCCTGCCCTGGTGTACCAAGCAGTGCCAAGCAGTGAGCACATTGCCCTGGTCGTGTTTGGTGCATCTGCTTCCTCCAAATGGCCAGCAGCCCTGCATGGGTTGGCTCCTTGCCCACCCCCACCCAATAGCATCAGCAGGGCCACGTACACAGATGGGACACAGCTGGGACTCAGCCCTGCTCCCTGGTGCTGGGGAACAGAAGGGTTGGGTGAGCGAGCAGCTAGACAAAGCCTGATGGGCAGGAAGCAGAGCAGCCCCTGCCACTGTGCCCACCTGCTGGGCTCTGGGGGTGGCTGTTGGCTTTGTCAGGTCTTGGAGGTAGGGTTGCTCCTTGTCGTTCCTGTCACTCAAGCACCTGTAAAACGCATCATTAAGCATTTCTTTCTGCTGCCTGTTATTCACCCTATGTAATTTTGTGTGGCTTCTTTTCCCCCATGAAACAATTACTTCCTGGATTTTAAGCTCTCCTCTCATCTTAGCACCAGGAGGTTTTAAATTCAGGAGGCACAAGCGGCACCACAACCTGTGATTCTGTGATCTGCCATAATGCAATAATCCATCGGGCAGAGCTGCAGGAGAGCCTGGGGAGCCCTGCAGTGCCTGCACTGTGTGGGATGGGGCTGCAAGCTGCTCAGGATCTGCTCCTTCCCTGCAGCTCCAGGTGCTCCCATGGCTCTTCAGTTAATCCACGTTCAGAGCACACCTTCTGGGGTTGTTATCCTGAATAGGAAGGAGAGAAGCAAAAAAAGAGACGCTGGGCCGCATCTGGAAAAATACAGGCTGCACTTAACTCTTAACGCGTGTTGTGTGTTTGCATGTAGCACTTAGGCAGATGTGCACATCAAGACCCTGCTGAATTCAGTATGTTTTGGTAACCTTTCCAGAAAAGATGGGAAAAAAATAAGGTTTTCAGCTGTTTGGCAAAGGGATTGCTGCACCAGTGTTTGCCTGAAATGCTGCCCCAGCCCAGAGGTGTTTCTGCTGGAAGGAGAGCTTTGTGAAACCATTGAGTTGGGAACAGAACAGAGGGGCTGCTGCTAGCCAGAGAAAGAAAGTCTGTGGGCTGCTGGAAGAGCACCTCCATTATCGACGGTGTAATATTGCTTGGCTTGGAAGATTTGTTGCTTTATTGAGAAGGTGCAGTACGTCTACACAAAGTGAATACATCAATAGTGCTCGTGTCTGGCTTTCTGCAAACTGAAGGAGATCTTAGGAAACCTGTTCTCTTACCTGAAAGGCTCCCTCTTAACACACCAGAGAGCAATTTTGCTAATAAAAGAACGCATTAGGATGCCAAATTAAAGGCTGATGGAAATAAATAAAAGACTTTTTTTTGACATTTACAATTAATGCCACAAAAATGTTGGTTTAATCAGACAATATGGTTAATCACAAAGGTGAAATTGAAAGTTGCCAGCCCTGAATGCTAGTGTAAAAGTTAATAAATTCAGCTCTTAATCATTATGCACATGCTAGTTATAATAATTTACTGCCCATACCAAATCTTTATAAGCATTGTAATTAAATATAAAATGCACATTAGAATTATAATGAGTAATTAGGGCAACATAACTAATATGCATAAAAGTCCCGAAGCTCATTAAAATGTTAAAAGATGGAACCTGTTGTAGCGGAGCGCTCTGCGTATCCGCTGTGCCTGCCCGAATGCCAGCGTGTTTCACGCATTGTTTTTGCTGTTCCTTCAGACATTTGAAAGCAAAGAGAAAATATTTGGGTAGGAAACCAGACTGTGCAGAGCACTGCATCATTTCTGGCTGGAGCATAAGTTGCAGAGTTGGGTTTCGCAGCCCAAAGGCTGACTCATGCACACGTGCTGGTGGCAGCAGCCGAGCGGAGCGGTCGTAGCAGAGGGAGTGGAGGTGATGGCTGCTCACAAAGGCGCTGGGAGGGAGCTGGAGCACCAGGGGCACCCAGCACTGCTGTGTCAGGCTTTAACGTGAGAGCTTTGCACAGCTTGGGTTGTTTCACTGAGACAAAAGAGGATGTGCCACAGCCCGGGTGTGTGGGGGCACTCACTGCCACATTGGTGACCCTGACATCACCCTGAAATGCAGACACTCCACGCTGTGCTCCTGCCCTGCCCAGGCTTCCTGCTGCTGCTCCTGAGCAGGAAGGAAAAATGAATGCCAACCACATAATCCCATGGGCACTTCTACATGGTTCCCCAACTCAGAGCAGCTTCCCTCACAGAGGCACTCTGCCCCAGGACACCTGTGTGCTCGCCTGTGTGCTTATCGTCATTCAGCGCTCCCGAAGTGTGCCTGCGCTGTATAGTTTGTTCTAGAAGAAGGAAAACAACCTGACAGTGAAAAATACGGTAGAATGGTGATTCTAAGCCTTCTGCCTGTTCACATCAGCATTAGCCAGGGATTTCCCAGAGCAAACACTACCAGCAGTTACTTTCCCTTCTCCTGACCTCCCAGCAAGCAGAGGCCGGGCTCCTCTGGGAGGGCAGCAGGGCCATGGGGTCCCACCTGGCAGCTCATGGCTGCTGGCAGAGCTCACAGGCATGAGAGTGTTTTCAGTGCACACACAGAAATGTGAGCTGAGATTTTCTGCTGGGATCCCATCCAGCTGCTGACTGTGGTAGATTTGGATAGTTTGTGATTGAAATGGCTGAGCTGTCAGCAGCCCAAACCACACTTTTGGTTTAGGAGAGCCTTCCGGATGTACTGACTCAGTGCCCTGCCCTGCTTCATCTCCCAGGATTTCTCCCTGGTACCTAGGCTGGAGGTGTCTGCATTGAGCAGGGTGACCCTGGATTGCTCATGGGGCACCAGGCTTCTGCCACAGAAAGCACAGAATCGCAGAGCTGTGGGGGCTGGAAGGAACCTCTAGAGCTCCCCCAGCCCAGCCCCCCACAGCACATCCATACAGCAGATGCACACAAAGCATCCAGGTGGGTTTGGATCTCTGCAGAGGAAACCAACCCCCCCACACACACACACCTCTCTATGCCAGAGCTCTGTGCCAGGGCTCTGCTACCCACACAGTGACGTTTTTCCTCATGTCCAGATGGAACTTCCTGGGCACCATGGAACAGAGCCCTGGACTCCACCCTTCAGATATCAATCAGCACTGATCAGATCCCCCTCAACCTTCTCCTCCACAGACAAACAGCCCCAGGGCTCTCAGCCTGTCCCCATCAGGAGGTGCTCCTGTCCCCCACTAGCTCTGCACCCTCCACTGGGCTCTCCAGCAGTTTCCCATCTGCCTGGCACTGGGGAGCCCTGCACTGGGCACAGTGCTCCAGTTGTGCAAAGCAGAAGGGGAGCACCTCCTTTCCCTGCTGGCTGTGCTCCATGCGATGCACCTCAGGGTCTTACTGGACTTTTTGGCCACCAGGGCACAGTGCTGGCTGGCGGTCACCCTATTTGCCACTGGTTCCTCCTTATTGCTCCTTTCCTGCAGCTCAGCCCTGTACCTGTATGTCCTCAAGGGTAACGTGGGTAGAAGTACTGTGGCAAGGCAGGAAGGCAGGACGTCCCCAAAAAGGCCACATGCAGACTGCCCAGGGCAATCTCTGCCCCACTTGGCGGAGACCCTCATCACCTGTCTCTGTGTGTGTGTGCTGTGCTGGGTACTGCAGGATGCTGCCATGGGGTGGTGGGCACAGCTGTGTGGCAGCCAACGTTCTGCACCTACATACACGCCTCACAGCAACATCTGCAAAATTGCTTGGGAAAAAAACCAACAGATTTTTATTTATAAGTTCCGTGTTTGGGTTTTTATAGCGTTTTATGATGCGCATAAATTGTTGTTTAAAAACAGAAAATGTAAGCAAAATTCCAGGGGGAAGGCAATTGTTGTTCAGCCCTAACTTTGATAATCTCCTTCCTGAGGAGTTCTCTGTCTTCTGTTTTCAGCTGGCGGTTGCCTTTTGCTGGCAACTGAGAGAGGCAGCTATGGCTTTTTGGCTTTATTTATATCTGCAGTTCTGTGCTTGAAATATTTATTCCCCTTTACTGTGTTCACTGTTTAAGAAGACAGAATGTACTTAAAGAAGCAAGCCTGTACTGGTGTAGTGGTGGGGCAGCCCTGCTGTGCTGTGTGGCTGGGTCCTGGCTGCAGGGTATGTGTGCCTTTGGTGCCCAAAGCAGCTCCAGTGCCCCAAGCCCTGTGCTGCTGCGAGGACCCAAAGCAGAGCAGTGCTCATGGTGGTCCCCACTTTGGGGCCGTAGAATCACAGGATGGCATGGTTAGAAGGGACCTCAAGGATCATGAAGCTCCAACCCCCTGCCACACGCAGGGCCACCAATCTCCACATTTCATAGCAGCCCAGGCTGCCCAGGGCCCCATCCAACCTGGCCTTGAACACCTCCAGGGATGGACGGGGCATCACAGCCTCTCTGGGCAGCTGTTCCAGCACCTCATCACTCTCATGGCAAAGAATTTCCCCCTGACATCCAACCAAAATCTTCCCTCCTTCAACTTAAAGCCATTTCCCCTTGTCCTGCTGTTATCTACCCTTTCAAAGAGTTGAGGCCATGCCTTGCCTGAACCCAACAGCCGTCACTGTGCTTTGTATTGAGTAACTGAGCAGAACGGATTGAAAAAACAGACTGTTTGCTGTGGGATTAATATTCTCCATGTCTCAGTTATGCTTCTGCACCAGATACACAGATCTGTGTCAGAATCTGCTGTGTGGGATCATTTTTGCAGTGCCGGAAGAAAACACGTTTGAATGTGACTCAAGCTGGAAAACACGCGCCAGGCTGAGTAACGTAGAGAGCACTGAGGAGAAGCAGAGTTCGGCCGTCTTCGGATTTGTATGCAAATGTCTATTTTACAATTTTTTTTTCAGTTGCTCCCACAATTCAGGAACTTAAGTCCAGCGGAGTGATGCTCGGAGGGAACGGCCTCATCCGGTGCGAAGGCGCGGGCGTTCCTGCCCCGGTCTTTGAGTGGTACAGAGGAGAGAGGAAGTAAGTACCTGCCTGCACTGCGAGCTGCAGAGCTGCCCAGGGGGAGTCGTGGAGTTTTCTTTCAGCTTTTGTTTCTGTGCCGGTAGATGAGGCATAATAGGACTGTCCGCAGCTGGGCTGTGATGGTGATAATTGCCATAATGAGCCTAGGGTTTAAAAATGCTTTAGTAATTACAGCCTTTGAAGTACAGCAGCCAGAAATCGTCCACTGGAAAAGTCTAATAAAAAGAGATTTTTTTTAAGAATATGGGTTTTTTAAGCCATCTCCGTAGGTTTCCTGCCGCGGGTTTCAGGGGTGGCTCATGGAGGCGCCTTGCAGTGCAGCTCGGTGCCCGCAGCCCTTGCACAGCAGCAGCACCTCCCTGCAGGAGCTCCCAGACTGAGTCCAGCAACCTCAGTGTGCGCCCCGGTGTTTGCATCCAGCTTTGCTTCTGCGTCGGTAGTGCTTGGTAAAGGTCAGATATCTCTGCAGGATTGGCTTCTAATAGGAGGTTTTGCTTTGCACTCTCACCTCATCGAAGATCTTGAATCTTCACGGAATGTGAAGTTTAAACATTGGTGCAGGATAAAATCCTGGTAGAAGCTGTGCAGGTACATCTTCTAGCTGCTGGAATGTCCTGGCTTCTGAACACTGGGTTTCTCATCAGCTCTAAGATCCCATTACACGTGGGAACTGACACGAGAATATTAATGACCATATTTCATAGGGAACCATCTGTCAGCTCATTTCTCGCTGGCCAGCTGCTCTCCTTAGGAGCGCTGCTCTCCCTCCTTCCTGACTTCCCACAGCAGCCGCAGCCATCTCACTCTGACCATAGATCAAAGCATTCTGGAAAACACCATAATCAACCTTTACTACATGTAACAGCACAGACTTTCCCTCTGTTGGAGAAATTCATCTGCATCCTATTTCCAAGGGTGCACGTCATATTGTACATATGTCGGGGAGGAGTTGTAGCAGAAAAAAAACTGTTGGAGCACAGGTTTTAATATAGACCATGGCACTCTGGATTCAATTAGCCATTTCCAGCGTGATAATCACCTCTCTATTTATAAAAGTCACCAATTCCCTTCTTCTTGAGTGCATTCAGTGTCACAAGAGCAGCGGGAAAGGATAAGCAGAGCATTTCAGGACACGGAAGTTGTGCCTTCTGTTTTCCATTTCAGTTGCTGTATCACCTGAGGCTTGCTATAATCAGCAAGACAAGCACTGTCCTGTTGTGTCTCACTGCTCAAATATTCTGTTAAATCTAATGGTACATCACTGTTTGTCCAAGAGCTGCTAGCAGACTCACAAAACACACGTGGCCACAGAGGGACTGGGAGCCTCCAAAGCACCACTCGCAGGACAGGGAGGGCTGCACACGCACTGTTCATTCCTACTCCCAGGATCATCTCATCATAAAAAAAAAGTCAGTAAAACTAAAAATAAGACCAGCTAAAGCCTATGTCCAGCTCCACCTATGAGGTGTTTGCAGGACTGCTCCTCTCTCTCCTCACCGGGCTTGCAGCAGTCACTGCTCATCAATTCTCCATGCATTCCTGCCATGCTTTGGGAACACCGAGCTCAGGGCTGAGAACTGCTTGGGGAAAGGAGGGGAGGAACCCAGAGCACTGCCTGCCATCCCATGGGCGTGCAGACCACACAGCCCTGGAGAGCCCACATGGACTGAGGATCAACCGAGGGAATGGGCTGCTTCAGTATGGAGAAAAGGATGCTCCAAGGGGACCTTATGGGTCTCTACAGCTCCTGGCAGGAGGTTGTAGAGACGGGGTTCAGCTCCCAGGAAACAGCGACAGGATGGGAGGTGCTGTGCCAGGGCAGGGCAGGCTGGGTATGAAGAGAAATCTCTTCTCCAAAGAGCAGTCACAGGGCTGCTGTGGTGGCACCCAGGAAAGGAGCTGGAGAAGGAGCCAGTGTAGGGACTGCCCTTGAGGGCTTTAAATTCTGAGCAGGAACCAAAGCGCTGAAATGCATCACATTAAAAAGGGACTGGGTGAAAAGTTAGTAAAAGCTTCTTAAAATTATGATAGCATTTGGCTTCTAAAGCTGCAGAGGGATTCCCTGTGGAGGGGAGGAGGCTTTGCTGTTCTGAGTCTGGTATCTGAAACTCACAACTGCTCAAGTATGCTGTGTTACAGGGCTGTGAAGAACTGCATCTCAGAAATTGAACAGCCACAGGGAAAAAGCCCAAAAGCCACTCATCTAAAAATATTAATTCTCTTCTACTTGATAAAGCAAACAAGACCTATATTTGAAATAACAAAACTTGTTATAATGGCTTAATATACTGCAATAATGTGAAGTCATTCAAATATGAAACTAAAGGTAGATATCCCCTGGGACTGGCACAGACACACGGTGTTCTCCTCATGCATTGGCATAGTCTCCAAAATAAAAATGAGATTCCATTTCCATGTTCAGCTCATGGCAGGGAGCAGTGGAGTAAGGAGATGTGTAGGGTGGCTGCACATGAGTGGAGATGCTGTGTTCCGAAATGGAGCTGCACACAGGTAGCAAATGCCGTGTGCAGTCAGTGAGCTGGGCAGCGATGTGGTTGTTGACTCAGAAGTGAAAGCATCAGGTTCCTACAGCAGCAAAATCAGGTTTCTACAGCAGCAAATGGAGATCCTGCAGGTGCTGTGTTCATGGAGACCAAAGCTGACCACAGACTCTGGCAGCCACGTGGCTCTGTGCTGTGTCCCCAGCGTGGCACCATGTCATGGGAAACGTGAGGAATCCACTGTGAGCAATCAGCTGTAGCTGGCACTTTAATAACATGGGTGCCCATCTGACAAGATGTGGTCTGCATACAACAACAGAATTTGAACTGATTGTCTTCCTCTGTGCCAGAGCAGCGGTGTTTCTGACACGGCCTGGAAGCAGTGCTGTAAGCTGCACGGTTCGTATGGGGCAGGGCCATGGAAGGCTCAGCTCAGGGAAAAGGGAGCCCAGTGAAAACAGTTGTGTTTGAGCTCCTCCTGCATTCTGTTACCTGATTTCTGTTCAAGTTGCAGTCTCAGGATGCAGTGCTGCGGTAGCGCATCCTTCCTAATTGCAACAGCAGTTTGTTGCTATAGAGGTCTGTAAAATAAATTGTGGTCTCCATCCTAATTAATCTCCTTCTTGGCTACGTAATCCCAATCTACCATCAGTTGGAGGTGCACAGGGTTGCGAACAGCCACCAGATTGTGAAAAACACCCTCTGAAGGATTTACTGTAACAGTGAGAAGTGGCGCAGTGTCTTTAGGGCAGCACTCTGTCTCCATGCTCCGTCCTACTGCCCACCCACAGCCCGCCCTGCCCCTGCTGCAGCACTATGGGTGCTGGGCACAGCAGTACGGATACATGCAGGCGGGCACTGGGGTGCTGCTTCCAGGCCAGCCGTGGGCCAAACTGCCCGAGGCTGCTCCCCTCACACCTCCAGTGCTGCCTCCCAAAGCAGCCCCACTGATAAGTTCGTTCAGCAGGGTCACGTGCAGACTGATTACTGTGCTATCAGCTGTATCTGTTAAAAAAAACGAAATCAAAAAGGCTTTTGCTTATGGTATATAAGTTATAGACTTTTTTTTTCTTACTTTCTAGACTGATCAGTGGTCAACAAGGAATTACTATTAAAAATTATAGCACGAGATCACTTCTTACTGTTACCAATGTGACAGAAGAGCACTTTGGCAACTATACCTGTGTTGCTGCCAACAAGCTTGGGATGACCAATGCCAGCCTGCCTCTCAACCGTAAGTAACGTAGATGTGTGACAAGTGTTCGTGCTCGTTTGTTTCCACATGCCTGGGTTCAAAAGCAGAAAGATGTCAGCGTGCTTTTTCTTTCCCTCATTTTTATCACAAGGCACACAAGTACCGTTACATTCCTCAGCAGTGGGAAATAACTCAGCTGGTTTTTTCTTCTGTGCTGCAGAAGGGCTTCTGTTTTGGAAGCAATGCCACATTTTGGGGGCAGCAACAAGTTGCGGATGTACAAAAAGACACGAGTGCTCAGCCTGCTTTGTGGCACGGACACTTAGCATGTCACAACCTTTCTGTACTGGCCGGCCAAGGCAGCACTCACCATTCAGAACTCCTTGGGAGGTCTCCAAGGGGCACTATGAGCCCAGCACTGCATGCCTTTGGCTGCACACACCGGGGGTAGGGTGAGCAGAGGGGACAAGCCATGGAGTCCTTTGATGAAGACAGCAGCCACTGGGATAGGCAAAGCAGAGCGCTGAGATACTCTTTACATGAAGCTTACATAAAATGGGTCTCAAATGTCCTACTTGAAAGATATTTATAGCCGTGACTTCATAGTATTTCACATTTTTTGACTCTCCAGCCATCTGTTAGTGGCATCCAAAGATGTTCATAGCTGAACTTCCGTGGTAATCTGTCCTGTTTTCATAACGATAATACTGAAAGACATGCATGAAGATATTCCTTGGTGGAAATCGGACTGCAGATTTTCATCTCCTTAAATCCTAGGGTTATTACCTTGCAACCACTAAGCTTTGTTCTTGCTGTGCTTTCCCTGTGTCGGTGTTATCGGGATATTTAACCCACCACCACAGAAATGCAATGAGCAGAAGGCAGTGTGAGGTCTTTCCTTCTGTTCCATATCAGATTTGAGCAATCATTAACAAAGTGAACACAATGCAGCACATCCTTTAAGCAGAAAACACAAAAAGTGAGAATGGAAGAATTTCATAGCAGAAGCAAGTGGTATTTGGTGAGTTTGCAGTTCAGAGAAAGTAAGGCGAAGGTTTGGGTTATTTTGAACAAAGCAGTTCTGTTGCTGCCAGGGTTCTATCAGCTTTCTTTGCTTTTCTTTTGCAACGTGCCCACTGTTACAGTGCAGAGTGCAGAGGGTGAACACCTCAGGCAGTGCCAAGGTGGAAACAGCAACAGCAGGCATTCTCTGTGGTGAGAGGGTGGGATGTGGGAAGTGAGAGGAAGTGCTGAAATGGGGGTCTGATTCTGACCACTCCATTGAGATGTGGGGGAGCTGCTGAGGTGTGTCTGAAAGGCTGAGATGGAGGGATTTGTTTTCTGCCCCCATCTGTTTGATTCTAATCAAAACAGGGAGGGGTTCCCAAAGGGCAGTCTGGATTTCAATTGGGAATTAAGAGCATTCGACTTGGGAGTGGGCATTCATCCTTCTTCAGAGTTTGCATTAATATCATCTGGAAAGAGTTCCTCTTTTTTTAATATAAAAGAGAAAAAAAAGTCTCCTGGGGTAACAACCTATTAAACATGGATTCCCTGATACTACAGAGGGGATTTTCTCTCGTGAAACACTGCTTGCATCTTATTTTGTTAGCAGCTGTAAAATGGACAGACTGAGCTGTGTGGGAAAAACACGGAGCAGCAGTGGCTCCGATCAAGGAACGAATGGCAGTGTGGCAGTTACTCATGTCCCAGTCCTTCCTATCACCCAGATGTGGGGGGTTCTGGCACCGCTCCTGTCCTGTAGCTGTGTACGTGTGCAGGATCCCCAGCAGCTGTGTTGGACGGTCCCATCCTGCCATCTATGGGCCTAATTCATCACATGCGTAGTGCTGCCCATCTTGGCTTTTCCCAGAATATTTGGTACTTAAGAAGATATTCTTTTCCTGTAAGTAAGGCAGAGACCTGCTGATTCATGAAATCCAATTTCTGCAGAAAACGCATTATGGTACGGACTCAGGGTATGAGGTTTCATTTACCAATGGAGAATGGAGTAATAATTAAGCAGCTCTTGCTTTTAAGTTGGTGCAATTTTAATTCAAGGCAAAAGGCAATTTCCTGCGGATGAATTTGCAAGGCCACCATGAGGGGAGTGAGCCATCATTAGCTGTTGACAGTGAGATGGGCTCGTTCAGCCATCACTCTGAGAATAGCTAGAGGTGAGGTGGTGGTCAGTGCTGCTGCTGGAGCAGCAACGTCCCCAGGGGAACATGCCCTGTCCCCATGCAGCCTCTCCATGTCCCAGTATGTGGTGTCAGGGCTGGAGTGCTGGTCTTCATCAAAGCTGTGTCACGCTGGGAGGTTGTCTGCTCTGCCTGAACGCTGGTTGTATCACAGGACACTGAGTGGCTGCTGAAATCCCGCGTTTTCAATCTGAATGTAGATTTAATCTATACATCTGTAGGAACTGTAAATCTGCTTAGAAAGAGGCTGTTCACAGGGGCATAAAATTCCCAGCAACGTGTGATCTCTGTGTCTCTACAAGATAAGACACCTCAAAAGTCTGGATTGAAGCAAGCCATCACCTCACAGAAGATAGATAAATATAATCATTGCGTCTCAAGCAGATAGTTATCTATCATTATCATAGGCATTATTTTGTTTGTATTTTAAAAGCACATCTCCTAGGCACTCCTGAGTGTTTTTTATGAGTGCTATAAACAGCTCACCTGGGAAGCGATACCTTCCCTTGCAATAAAGGAGCCCACCACTGGCAGCTGCCCTGGGGATGATGCCCTTCAGTGGCTGCCTTTGTGCCCCACAGGTGCTGCTGAGCTCTGGGACAATGTGGCTCATATAGAAATCAGACGTATTGTCAGTAGTTGTTCTAAAATGTAAATAGCCATGAAGGGCTGCAGCAAAGGTCAGCAGCGACGTCAGGAAGGAGAAGGAGAGCACAGTGAGGCATGTGAGGGATGTGGCAGTATTTTCTGTGCTAATGTAATTGCTGCAGCTAAACAGAACTACCTTATTGCATAAGCATCCAACTGTGAGCTTACTGGTAGTGCAACATGGTTATGATCTTGTCTCAAAGAGTTTGCATGCCAGGAAGCACCAGACCGTGCCTCCATTTACGTGTGTTCGTTGCATTGTGGGCTGGTTCCTACAGAAAGATTCCTAATCAAACTGCTGTGCCAACATTTTAATTGAGTTTCATGTCTGAAGTGCAAAAAAATTAATATTCTTTCAAAATTTTAAGTTAACTCTTTGTAAACAGCACATTGCATGTAACAACATATGCATTCCTCAGGATAGTTGGTGTAGCATTGAGTGTGTCTACTGGGGCACTGAAGATCCAGGAGCATTGAGGGCACCTGCAGAGCTGTGCAGTGGTCTTGCTATGCCATGTCTGCTAAACAAAATTAATATTGAGACAGAAACCACTTTCTCTGGTAATTTCCTAGCAGCCTGACTCATGGATCTGCAAACCTTCCCTCTCCTGCTGCCCCAAGCCATAACAGTGAGGGACAGCAGGGATTTATAGGATCTGGGGGTTCTCACAGTCATTTCACTGAGAGCACGGCTGTAGCCACAATGCCATTTTCCACTGCTGGCAGCTTTGGGTCCTGCTTCCCACTGCCCAGAGTGGTCCTCCCCCATCACAGTCAGGATGTGGCCCTGCTTCTTTCCTGTATTTGCAACTTTTCCTTCATATTTACACCAAGCATTTTCTTACTGCAGATGAAGGCTACTTCCACTTCTCTTCTCCTTCCCACTGTGGGAAGAGATCGGTGCTCTCAGAACCAAGAAGGAAATTGGGGCGGACGGAGGGAAGGGCAGTGTTGGGTCAAAACATCTGTCTCCAGGTGCATAAAAGCCTCTCCTGGAACGAGAAAGGGAATGATCTGAAATGAGTGACTTTATGTACTGCTGAACATATTGCACTACTGCTGGCAATAACAGTGGTGACGGGTTAGCCTAGGGCTTGCTGCACAGACAGCATCTTGCCGTGACTGTGTTGCAAAGGCGGTTCATAGAATCACAGAATGGCCTGGGTTGTAAAGGAGCACAATGCTCATCAGTTCCAACCCCTGCTCTGTGCAGGGTTGCCAACCAGCAGCCCAGGCTGCCCAGAGCCACATCCAGCCTGGACTTGAGTGCCTCCAGGGATGGGGATTTGACATGCTCTGATGTCTGAGCAGCGGTCACCTTCCTGAAGGGGCTCTTCTTGCTGCCACGGGGATGGAGCTGGGCCTGGCAGCAGCAGTTGTTTGAGTGGCTATTGGAGATCATGCAAAGACTGCTTGAGACTTGTGTTCACACTATTTGGTGCCATCATTAAACGCAGCCATTGCTTTCTGTTGACTGAGAATTTGCGTATTTGCCCACATGAAGGGGTCTCTGCTAAGTTTTAGCTCAGCGGCTTTGGCTGGCCTTCCAAATTTGACATTTCAGAAAGAAATTTACTCTCCAGGGAAATTCCCTTTGTGTTGGTAGTTTCAGCTTTCTCCAATTACCTAAGAAATATTTTACTATTTTACCTCTCAAACGCTGGTCCTTAGAACAAATCACAATTAAATTGGTGTTGTTCTGTGTTATGTCTCAGCCAAACGGGTGACACACATAAAATTATACAGATATATTCATGTAACTATAGAATGTAAGTGAAAACTCCTGTACTCATTAGAAGCTGATTCAAAGACTGCTGCAGTAAATCAAAAGACGTTTCTTGATTTAATTATGTTTGGCTGAAGCCCAAAGTCTCCTGTAGAAGTCGCAGTGCAGAGGGCTGATGCCATACACCAATGTTTTCATTGGAGGTGTCTGGTCCTGCCCCTGCCGTGCAGTCAGTGCCCCGAACACTCACCCAGCTCTTGCTGAACGCACGGCCCCAACTTCCCTGGTGCGTGGCTGGACAGAGAGCAGATGGAAAATGCCTTCAGGGGCAGTAAAACAAAACATAAAGGGATGTCTGAGCCAGCATGCTTTCTTGTGGTCTCTGTAAGGGGCATCCAGGTCCATGCCCACAGGGTTTTGTGGTATATCCATTATAAAACCAAGTCAGACCTTTTCATAGTGTG